TTCAAACATGTATGTAGTTTAACGATTTCAAATCCACTCTTTCGAACATGTATGTAGTTTAACGATTTCAAATCCACTCTCTCGAACATGTATCTAGTTTAACTATTTCAAATCCACTCTCTCTGTCTGTAGTTTAACTATTTCAAATCCACTCTCACGAACACATGTACATAGTATAACTATTTCAAATCCACTCTCTCTAGCTGTAGTTTAACCATTTCAAATCCACTCTCTCGAAGACATGTACATAGTATAACCATTTCAAATCCACTCTCTCGAACACATGTACGTAGTATAACTATTCCAAATCCACTCTCGAAACAAACACGTAGTTTGAGTTTGTAAACGTGGTTGCTATGCGTGTAGAATGCTGTACTATTTCTCAGCTCTTGGATATTTGGAGTTGGATTGGGGAAAAACAGTGCAAAAAGTTGGTTTAATTTCTCTGGTGGCAACAATGGTGGAGTCTCTGCCAATTGCAAATGTAGTAGACGATAACATATCAGTACCACTGGTCAGCATGGTAGTAGCCTTTCTCACTTTCAACACTTAAAATCTTATTATGAACTCTAATTATTCCAATGATTATCATATTTTCATAGAATTTTATATTAAAATATATTATGCCTTGAATTTTTACGAAATTAATATTGGAATTTTGACATTTAATTATTTAAAAGTATTCTGAGTTGAGTTCAGGTACAGCAGCTGCCAGTCCTCCAGGAGATATTTGACTGACTTCTTTTAATCCTACTAGGGAATATGAGGTATCGTATTGTCAGTTGCCTCCAGTCTCCTTTCTACTTTAATTAAATTCACTCTCACCTTTTACGTCCGTAAAAGTTTTTATTATTATTTCTTTTTTTAAAACTTCAAAATTGAAATAGAAAATTTAAATGTAATTATCACATTTTTGTGTAAATTAATAAAAATATCCCTACATTTTTTAAGTTTCACTCCAAATTTTTTTTTAAAAAAATTTATAATATTTCTGTTTAAAAAACTCTTAAAACTTTTATTAAACAAAAATATGTTTTGAGTTATTTTAAAAAATCTCACTAATAATAACTTAATTTTTTTTTAAAAATGTTCAAAAATAACTTTATTTTTATTATTAGTATCACGTTTAAAAAATAATTTAGAGATAATTTATGAAATATTGATAGTGAAAAGTATTTTAAACTTTTTTTTTTTTTTCATTTTATGGGTATTTTTTTAATATAAAATTAATGTTTGTTTGAAATTGTTTAACAACTTATGGCCACTCAATTTTTTAAATATATATTTTTACATTAATGTTAGTTATATTTAGACCAAATTAATTTTAGGTGAATTTGTATACCAATGTAATTTAAAAATTTTCATTTATGAGTTGTGCGGGCGTATCGGTTATTTGAATGTCTCTACAAGAAAGAAAAATTAATATAATCCGACTAAGATAGCGTGACATATTTTCATTAGGATCGTTAATTAAATGACTTTATAAGCTATTTATAATATTTTCCACTCTTGAACTAAAAGTGTTATTTTTAGTTTGCTCAACTCTTCACTTTATAATTAACATGAACTCACTGCTATCTCTCCTGAGATCGAAAAACATAAAAATAACTTCGTTATTGTATTACCACCTGATGAAACCAACCCCAAAAACTATATATAGAAGTTCGGGATCTGGTGAACATCGATGTCATAATATTGCAGCAAAAATAACACTTAGATCAACGTGTGTTTTGTTTTGTTTTTGTCGATGCTACTAATTTATTATTGGTTTTTTTAGATTAGTCTTTATACATTATTTTTAATAAGTTTCGAAAAATATATCGACATTTTTTATATATCAAAATTATTATTAATTTAGATCCAAATTAAATTTGAAGTTTTAAATTAAGATTTTATTGAAGGTATATTGTTCTTGAATTTTAAAAATATTTAATTAATGGTAAAATTTTAAATTTTGTAGTTTGTCGTTGGAGAGGTGAATATCCTAAGAATTGAAAAAAAAAAAAACTATATCTTACAAATTACCAAAAAAAAAAAAAAATAAATAAATAAATTTTTATTCTTAACGTAATGATTTATATCCTAAATTTTAATTTTTAATTTGATCAGATATAAATACGTTTTCTTGGATTTTCATATTTTTTTAATTAAAAAAATTAGGGTAGAAATTGATTTTTTTTATAATAAATTTATTTCCTAATTCTGTTTTTGTTTTAAATTTCCTTAACATATTCCGTAATGAAATTTAGATCATAAAAAACTTTCCTCATGGCGGGAAGCTTGAGCTTAAGACTCCAATTATGTCTTTAAGCTGATTCAAATTCAATCGGAACTTCTACTCACAAGCGGCCGTCCGGTGATTCTTCTCCGACCTCCGGCTTTGCGGCTTCCAATTTTGTTCATATTTCAAAGTCGACTACGCGATTTGTGCATATTGTTTGCAGGAGGATCACTATGTCGCTTCATCGGCTTCGCGATCTGGTTATTGGCCGCGCTTGCTCTCTTCTCTTCGCTCGCTAGGAGCTTTCCATTCGTCTTCATCTATCTCCTCCGGATACATCTCTCGGTATCACTTTTTGATTGAATATTTGTTTGATTTTAGTTTCTTATTATATGTTCGATCTTTTTGGTTGAAGTTGTTTTTAATTTCTACACGGCCTCCTGTTTATTTATGTATGGATTTAGTATGTGGTTGTTGTGTGAGATTTGATATTCTGATTCATTTTGCGCGAAATTTCGTTTGATCGAGTGTTTTAAGATGTCAAATGTCAGTTTGGTTTAATGGTGGAGGAACCGTTGAGGAAGAGTCTCAAAATTGTTGAAATTGTGTTTTTTGTGTTCTTCTCAATTTCTTGTTTCATTTATTTGTGATGCCTATGAACTGCCGATTTGAACACAAGGATCTTGACGATTTAAGAGTAGTTAAGCAAGTATTTGCCTTCCACCACATTGCCTAATGCGCATCATTTCCATGAATTAGCTGGGAATTATTGAATGACCTATGATTGCTGTTTTCAATAATTGGTACTTACCCGCCCTCGTCGTGTTTGGTTAGAAATCACAAACCTCCACAATAGTATGATATTGTCCACTTACTTTGCTTTTGGTTTCCTCAAGAGGCTTTATACCAATGAAGATGTATTCCTTATTTATAATCCTAGATCAACCCTTTAATTAGCCGATGTGAGACTCCTCTCCCAATAATCTTCAAAAAATACGACCTCTCTGACATATACGGTTTATGCCGGAAAGGTATGAAGTTGGACTAATTTGGAAACATTGGGCAACTTACGTTTGGTTTTTGGTTTCTAGCCTGACACTGTCATCAAGTAAAAAGTAAACCGAAAAGATTAGGGACATGTGTAGAACTCTAAGAAGTCTAAGCCTCAATTGGACAATTAAAACATGATGGGTGCGTCCTGCTTTTCCCATGGCAGTCTCTTACCCATTTGCCTATTAATTTGTACCTTAAATTTGGTAGCCAATGTTACTGCTTCCATGAAATACACCAAATGTTGGAGCTTCACCTTTTCTTGGATATATATATCGTACAAGTCGATCTCCATCTTATAATCTTGTGATTCAAAACTGTGGTGTTGGTTGTGGAACACTCCTTGTTGTTCAAAGACTGGTTGTTGTTGAAGAAAGGTCTCTTCCTGACTAGAAGAATCAAAATCTTGGTAGGGTAATCTTGCATATGTTCTTGCAGCCAATTATTGGGGAGTTTTATTTGGCGTTCTCTGAAGGCTAGTCTCTGTTCTTGGAGCATTCTTGCTGTTTATTCATGTTGCCCTTGTTCTTTTTGGATGAGGATTATTATCATTTCTTCCATTTATTTCCCCACCAATCTCATTTCAATTCTTTCTCATTGTTCAGCTATTGTTTCCAGAACGTGTTTAATTTTGGAGAACAAATTGTTGGTGGAGTTGTGGACTCCAAATTGGAATGATCCGTGTCGATTTTGGAGGCATTGACAACCTTCTTTCCCACCATTAGGTCCGTTTATACCACCCGAATGGTACTTGAATGGTTGCTCAAGAACATAAGTAACCTATGTAGATATACCCGAATGGTTGCTTAAAAACTAAGTAACCTATGTAGATAAATGGTTGTAACTAACCATAACACATACAAACTTATGTAGATATATCTGAATGGTTGCTTTAGAATATAAGTAACCTTTAGAATATAAGTAACCTATGTATGTAGATAAATGGTTGTAAGTAACAATAATCTATACAAATCTAGGTAGATATACCCGAATGGTTGCTTTAGAACATAAGTAACCTATGTAGATAAATGGTTTAACTAACATCCATATACAAACAGTAAAAATATATTCATTATATCGTATATTTTTAGAGCACCTATGAAACGTTGATACAGACGAACTTATATGGTCAGATAATCTGCTACAAGTCCCTTCATCCTTCTTAGATTAATGCCTCACATGCTTAGAATCGGATTTTACATGTTCGGGTTTGGGTTTTAAGGACTTGTACACATGACCACAAAATCTTTTTTATTTTTTATTTTGTCGTCATTTTAGTCTTAATATAATCTCTGGTAGATATAGTAAGAGACCAAAACAAAAGTTCCAATAGTACTCATTCGATGAGACGATAAGATATAAAAAAATTGATATATGAACTCGGAAACACGATTATGTGAAAATAAAATGACATTTTGACTTTTAACTTTTTATTTGTTGTAAAATTATTAAGTTTATATTAATGTTGATTTTTTACGTGGATGGATTAAACATTTTATTTTTATTTATATTATACATTTTTTCTTTTAGCATAAAGCTACGAGAAAAATAAAATATTAAAAGTATTATATATGAAGGGCATTTGTAAGAGAGGTAAAATTAAATAATTAAATCTTATAAACTAATAAATATAAAAAATATATATAAAAAAAAAAAGTTTAAAATTTTAAGTGGATTAAAATAAACAAATAAAGAAATAAAGTTATTAATTTTGTAAGTTAGGGGTTTGGGATGAAAATGAGACTGTTTTGGAAGGAAGAAATGGTTGTTTTATCCGCCGCTTCAACAAGAAAATGACTGGAAGCAGCCGTCCTTGTAGCTGATCGCACTTTTTTGCTTTTCAGATTCAAAGAAAATGTCAGAGAACCCAAAAGTTATTGGGATGAAAGAGGATGGATCCCCTAAATTCCCCTTCACTTGGTTCTCTTTTCTTCCCAAGTTCGACCTCCGATTGCCGCTTCCGATCAACGGCGGCAAGAAACCGCCGGCTACGGTGATGGATGAACGTCCGAAGGACGACGACGGTGCTCAGAAGCCGGAGTTTGTGAGGTTTCCTAAAGCAAACTTGGCCGTTCCTTCGGTGGAGGTTGAAGCCGATGTCTCCGGCAAGACTTCCAATCCGGCGGTCATCTGGCAGGTTTGTCTTCTCTTTCGTTTTTATGGAAACTGGATGAAATTGAAGTTGCTGCTGGGATATTGCACTCTTAGTGTTTGTGGATTTGACTGAATTGGGAGTAATTGTTGAGTGTTGAAGCATCTCATTAATGGTGATTTGGAGGGTGGTTGGAGAACGTTTGATTTTTCTTGTTCTTTGTTTTGCCTTTTCTGTGCTTATGGTTTCAGCTTACCTTGGATTCCCCTTCTTAACCCACTATTGATTAGTTTAGAGCTTTAGATGATAGCTAATTGGTCTGTTTGGTGGCTAATCGATGGATAGTTCTCCATTATCTTTGGGAACGTGCAAGGATTTCTCTCATGTACTAATGCAAATAGAGAACTAAACCTCATCAGTCATTGGGGATATATATAGAAATCTTCTGGATACCATTTAGGTATAAAGAATTTCCTATTTTCAACGGGGATAGATAGAACAGAAAGGAATCTGGATATGTAAATGCCTCTTGGTAAATTGTTTTTCCCCCCTATTTTATCTGCATTTTAGCAACATGACTAGCTGCTATAATAATTGAGAACTCGAAAGCCAGTGTTTGAAAATGGTCGAATCTAGGGGAGCAAAGAGATAGAAGGAATTGAGAAGAAGGCTTAAACACAAAGGGAGGGGTGAGCAAGCCTGATTTATAGGGAGGGATGAGCAAGCCTGCAACCATTTGTATCTATGTGCTATTAATTTCACTTTATATTCCTATGTTATATTTTGAACGAGGGGGTTGAAAAGTCCAAATAGATCTAGAGATAAGGTAGTATGGAAGAGGACTGGGGCCACTATGGATTGTTCAACTAGTAGAGAGTTCATTATCGTCTCGTCGGCATCTTACTTTAATATTTGATTCTCGGTTGAATTACAAGTTTAGTCTTCAAGCTTTGAAGTTTATCTAATGAGTCCATTTACTTTAATAAGCCTTTAAATTTTCAATTTTATATCTTATATGTGGTTGAACTTTTAAAATGTCTAGTATGTTTCTCAACAAGTCTTTGATGCGTTAAAAAATTTATACATAAATTCATTTTTATGTCTAATAGGACTCTAATCTTTTAATTTTGTGTCTAATATGCTCGTGAGTTTTTTTAAATGTTGAATAGAGGAAGGATTACTAGACACAAAATCGAGATTTCAGAGACTTATTGGACATAAGCGAAAAGTTTAAAGACATACTAGATACCTTTTAAAGTTAAGTTCTATTGGACACAAAATTGAAAGTTCAAAAGCTTATATACACCAAATAGAACGAAAGTTTAGAGTTTGAACTTACAATTGAATCTTTAATTCATTGACTTGTTTTTATTCTCCTGCCCTGGCTAATATTTTCATTTACTTGTTTGGAATTTGAGCTTTCATGACTCCTTTTTTATAACATGATCATTTATTTGCGTTAGGTATATGCCCTGGGAGGGCATCTAATTTTGGGTTTTTGTAACATGATCATTTATTTGCTTTAGGTATATGCCCTGGGAGGGTTTCTAATTTTGAGTTGGGCATGGGCAAGATGGAAGGAGAGAAGGCCTAAAAGACGTTCAGATGATGACGATGAGAACGAGGATTCCAGGGATACCTAGTTGTGTGTTTTGCCTTGAACAGCCCTTAATAAATGTTGATGAAGATACTTTTTAGTGTTAGAATCGATCTCGAGCTCATACCATTGTAATTTCAAGTTAATCAGTCATTTCCTGACCTGACCCTTTGTCAATCCTTGAATATGATCTTATTTTGAAGTTGAAGCTGTCTCATTGAGATTCTCTATTGATGCGACAGCTACAATGTTTAGTGTTAATAAGAGGCTTCCTGCTTGCGCTACTAAGCAAATATACTGATGATGCAAACAGTATTAAAGGTTGATGCATGTACAGCAACTGAACTTATCTGGAGCCCTTACTGAGGTTATATAGACTCGTCTATCTGAAGGGGGTGATCAGAGTAAGAGGTTAGTTAAATGAGGCAGCTGTGAGACGGTGGTAGTACTAAAAATTCAAAGCTAGACACCAGCCGATGTTCTAGCGAGAAGGCTGAGCCCCGAAGGGGGTGAATTATCCCACATCGATTAGAGAAGTGAACAAGTGCCAACGAGGATACTAGACCCCAAAAGGAGTGGATTGTAAAATCCCACATCAGTTTGGAGAGGAGAACGAACCCTTCTTTATAAGGATGTAGAAACATCTCCCTAGCTGAAGTATCTTAAGAAAAAAACTCGAAAGGAAAAGTGTAAAAAGAACAATATCTGCTAACGGACTGTTACAAGTATGTTGAATCATTGACGGTCGGTTATTAGTACACCACATACATGTTCATGAAAGAGGTATATGAGGGAGCACAAATGGTGAATGATATGAAAGCCAGCAATAGTTTATTTTACTATTGTTAATCACAAAAGTAGTTGCTGGTAAAAGAATGATACATCTTTGTGGCAAACCTGTACAGAGACCAAATTTATGCAGGAAATCAATCAGTTTCTAACAAGCTATTCAAGAAAACTTATGACTAACTAAACCAACTTTTCCATGTAGTAAGCCCTGACCAAGTGTGGTAGTTATTGATTTACCAGCTAACTCAGCATTTATGTACACCATCCTGAGACCCTTCCCTAATAATCGGGATCGGTCGTATACGACTGGTTCTGCATATAACTTAATGGTATGGTATATCCTTTGTAAGAGCAAGGAGAAAATCAGTTCATACCGTTAGTTTGACTCAGAAACCAAATGGAAAAGTAGATCACTCTGGCTTGAAATAACCATCATATATGGATAGTTGATCGAATGCGTCGAAATTTGCCTTTAGTCCGATAAATTGGCTACCCAAATGAGCACAACCAGCATCGGGCCACCGGCAAGCTTTGTCGTGAGTGCGCAATGGGCAAAGAGCTTCGCAGACGTGACTGGGGGAATCCTTCGGAACATCATCTTCTGTAACTGTGATAGAAAGGGAGAGGTCATTGTCTTCACTAGAAGGCAGTGAACGATGCGAAGCCCTTCTCGAAGCAGGACGATTTTTCTGATTGGATTTCATCAGGTCGCCCTCGATGTCAACAGTACAATAACCATTACTAGAGACTTGAACCTTGCAACCTAGAGACTGAATTGCTCTCTTTATGGCTTCACATTCTTTGTTTGCACTTTTTGCAATATTCCTAGCAGATACACTTAACTGCTTCTCGTTCTGTAACTCTGATTTTATCGATTCCATGGCAGCCGTCATCTCTTGCGTTTTTCTCTCGGCTATTTCTTTCTCCTATTAGGCATGTTACAGTATGCAAGAATCAATCAGGTTGACACAAGTACAACAAAACATTGTACATAAAAAAAACGTTCGAAAAACATCAGCTTCACCAAACGTTCGAAAAACAAACATTTCTTGTAAGATATCATATCATCCATTGTTACGCCTCTCTTTAAAAATTAAGAAAGAAGAAGAAGAATGACCCAAGTATGAGACAAGAATTATACCTTCTGCATTTCAGAGAATTTTATAGCCATTTTCCTGCATCTGACTTCAAGTTCTCCAGCTTGGGATTCTTTAGGGCAAGCCCAACGAAGATGGAATTGTGGCCAGAGAGTTGGAGCTAGAGCTGCTGCAGGAGGTAAGAGTGGACCTTCATGTTTGGTAGGATCATAGAAAAGGTTGTAATGCACGTGCGAACTTCCTTCCGAAGCTCGTAAATCAGCTAAATACGCCCATATACAGCCGCAAACTTCAGAAACTGCACATTGCTGCCGCTCCTTCTCACTGAGACATCAGAAAAAGATCATTCAACAAGCCCCTCCATATTATTAGTGTCTAACAATTTGATGTTTAAGAGGGGAACATAAACATTCGTCAGATCCAGAAAACTCTTTCAGGTATGAAATGTAAGGAATGAATAAATGGGTCTGTTTGATGGTATTCTTGTTTCCTACACCTAGCTAAAACATTAAAACAAATGCATCCAATAATATTCTTCAAGTTTCTCATTTTTCATGAACTTTTCATAATGATTTTAGTTTTGAAATTGTTGTTCGTATCATTTAGTTCACAAATTACACAAAAGATATCAGGATAACAATAATAATTAAACAGGGAAATTCTAGTGGAACTCATCACACCAAAGGATTGATCTAATCGAAGGAAATTACCAATTGCATAAGAAGTTCCCAAAGCGACAGGAAAGCATACAATCCAACAGATCCACCAGGAATGCCTAATAAAAAACGCCAAACAGGTCGGCATGTTACGCCAATTAAGAGTGAAGAATGATTTCCTCAAAAAGAAAGAGAACTAAAAACTGTTTCAACTCCAAAAGCATCAAGAAGGTTACTTACTGAAGAGAACTCGAAAGCAAAGGGATACATGCGCAAAAGTTGAGAAACACAATCAACCCACTGCAAACAATTGAGTAGCATTCTATTAACAGGTAACACAGTTTTGTGCATCAAGGATAAAAATAAGGACAACGATCTTTGCACCTAGCAGAAGTCATGCCACTCTATCTACATTTTTAATCACTTGAAGGAATCCCAAAAAAAATACACAGTATTTCACACAGATTATATTCAACGAACCACAAACCTGTAAAAATATGGGAGAACAGTTGTTTGATGTTTGTGAGGGAGGAGGACTGGAAGCTGGAGATGTGAATGATCCCGATGGCTGACGCATAGGTGAAGTAGAAAAACTTCCAGTTGAAGACTGCCTAGAGAGTTCATATGGCATGTTACCACTTCCTGATATGGTCGGCATGCCAGATCGATCTGAGAAAGGATGACCAAATGCCAGCCAATCCTTTTCAACCAGTGCCTAAGTGTACACATTGAAATCGGACTGATGACTAAATATATCCAACTATGAATAAATGAAAGAAGACTCTATGCTACCATTGACAATTCCAGGGAATAAAGAGATCCATTCATGATATATGAAGGGAAACAGATTTTTTTTTTTTATAGAAAGATAGACACGTCCTACATTTTAGGTAAATTATAGAGTAAAGAAAAAAAAAGACCCAAAAAGGTCTATGATGTCCAACAGAATACCTGAAATCCAGCAATCGTCCGGTAATAAGGATCAAGTAGTAAGCTAGCAAGTGAAACTAGTTGTGTTGTTCTGTCCCAGCCATCACTATGCAAACAATGACCAAGAAGATGGCAAGGTAATCTTTAGAACATTTCACAGAGCAGAAGTTCCAAGGCAAAATAACAATAATATATGTGTATAATTTGTTAGTTACAAACTAGAAGATACAAGATAAATTACTGCATACCTGCAATGAACTAGTACAGTTGCTTTTTCCAACGCAACACGTGCAGCAATCCATGCGGAACCAGCCAAGACACTTTGAACATGGATTAACCAGCCACTATCTCCCAGTGTTGATACAGATGCAGACATACTACTAAGATTACCCCCACCCCAAGTCCATCCGCCGTGTCTCTGCATATGTATATGGAGAGTGAGTTTCTTTAAGAGCAGAATTCAAAGTAGGGGAAGGAGACAACTTCAGATCCAATCTTAAGAATTCCTCCATTATTAGTCACCTTCATGTTTACATATTTACGATTTCAAGTTGAGGGAAAAATATGAATGTGAAGTTATTTACAAATTATCATGAACTGGAATTGATGGAGGCATGCTCATGCTTCTAATGTTTCAGGTTGATCGGAGGAAAAAAAATTGAAAGTTGTAGGAAGGGAAACAAATGAATCTCAAGGTAAGGAGTGAGGGAGGAGAAAATAACGAACAGGCTAACCAAGAATGCTGACATTCCATCAGATGGTGTTGCACCATGAGTATCCAAGTAGTAGGGAGAAAGAAATAGGGAGACTTTCTATAAGACCAAAATACAAAGGGCCTCAACATATTAGCCGAAAAATACTAACCAAGAATGATGACATTCCATCAGATGATTTTTCACCATGAGTATCCAAGTACTCTCTGAGCCGGGTAAGACTTTCCCTCATTGCATGTATGTTGTCAATCCCAAAAAAGACTATCTATTAAGGATAACAAAAACAATACAAGGTAAGTCGAGCATCCCATAATAAAATTGTAAAGAAATAACAAATTGGACCTCAGAGCCTTAAAATAACCTCAGATTGAAAATAATTTGACGAAGACTCCGACCCACCACCCATAGCTCCATTTGCTAAAGCATTTTTTCTAGGCCTTGCATCAGCTATATAAAGCTTCCTAATTACAAAAAAAAAAGAGGTTTATCTCAGAAGTAACAATATGGGAGGAAAAGAAAAAAAAAAAAAAAAAA